TAGATATCTTAACCTAATCATTAGAAACAGTTACTATAATATAAATATTACATAGGTGTCTTATATTATTCTTAATTTTGTTAACTGTCCTAATTCATCTTTTCTGTTAAGTCTTGCTAGCAGACCTTTTACTTGTTTCATTATTAATTTTTGTTACAATATTCTGTGGCTGTTTAGATCTTTGTGTTCTATTATACAATTTTCTAATGTTCTTAATAAGTTGCTTTTTTGCTTTGTCAGATGTATCATTAGTTGATATACTTCATTTATTTCTTTTTCTAACATTTTTGTTAACTGCAGCATATAACTCAACTTTGGTATTATTATTATATTATTTATATATGCTATCTGGCTTATTGTTATCTTCTTGTAATTAAGGTTTCTTATTATTTAGCTTATTATTTCTTTTGCTTTTTTTTAATTAAAACTTTCTGTATTCTGTTATTTAGCCAAATCATTAAGAAATAAACTATTTTGTTTCTTAGTTCTTTTGTTATTTTACTTTTTTTAAATGTTATCTCTCTTTTTTGACTTTTCTATTCATTATTATTAACTTTAATTTCATTTTATTTATTGCTATATTATTCATATTAAAGAACTTTTCTGCTATTTTTAATATTTTTAATAGCTGTTCTTTGTTTTTCATAATCTAAATCATATTATTTGCATATGTTATTGCTGTCTGATGATGACTTGTAATATTATTGCAATGCATTTCTTTTTTGGTCTCTTGTTTTACTATATAGTCTAATCTTTTGTTTTTTTGTATCCTTTTTAGTAATAAGTTATAAAAGAGACACTATATTAGTGATAATATTATTTTATCTTGATCTATTTCATCTCTTGCTATTATTTTTTCTATTAGGCTATAGGCTGTAATTATCTTAAGCTGTCTTTTATGAAAGAGATTCAAGATATACTTGATTGTTTTCTTAAATATCTTAACTCTTTGCAAAGCTTATTCAAGACTTTTAAGTAAGACAGAGTTGAAAGCCTTTTTCATATCTTGTAAAAGTATTTATAATTCTTTGTTTTTTTTTCTTTTGCCTTTTCTATTATCATATTTAGAATATGTAATAGCTGTTTAGTTGAGTTTTCTGGAAGATCTGCATAGTTTAGTTTCTTAAGTATTTCTTTTTCAACAAAAATTTTACTAAGTCTTTTTGTTAACATTTTCATTACAATCTTTTTGAATGTTTCAATTAAGGCTATTGAACAAATATTATTTAAACTATATCTCTATTCTACATTTTTTAGTATTAGATATACTTGTACTATCATTTACTTTGTTGGTATTTCTTCTATCTTTAAGCACAGATTTGCATAAGCTCTAAACATCTCTTGCACTTTCTTTTCTGCTTTTTTAATCAAGGTATAACTTATTTCTAATATTTTAGAAGTTGTTCTTGTTTTGAATTCTCTAATTATTTCATTTTATTCTTTTTTTTCAATTTTTCTTTTAATTTCATTATACTATTCTTCTTTAAAATAATTCTGTAGTTTATAGATTTCTTTTCAACTTTCTAACATCTCTTCTAATTTGGTATTTCTTTCTTTAAATTGTTTCTTATAATGTTCTGCTGTAACTTCTTTAACTAGCTTTGATTTTGTTACTAGTTTCATCTTTTTTTCTGCTTGTTTGATTAGTATATTAAGTATTACTTTTTTGTAAGACTTGTTCAATAGGCTGGCTATTATTTTTTCTCGATCAGTTTTAATTATTTCACATTTTTTGTCTATGTTTTCTTCTATTTGTTTTCTTTGTTCTTGTTCTTATTTGTTCTTTTTTTTTTCTTACAGAATTCTTTGACAACTCTTTATATTCTCTATCTAAGCATTAAACTATTGTCTTTGGATTTTTGGTAATCTTGCATCTACTTTCTTGTCTATTATTTTAAGCTTTTCATTTGTTTTATTCTTTTTTTGCTTTTGTAACTTCATGTTCTTTTTTTGTTTTTGTGTATTTAACTAATTGAAGTTTTACAATAGTCTTTTCTTATTGTTAATTTTTTTAATTATGTCTTCTGTTCATTGCTATGTTATAAATTTTTTTCTTAGATATATGCTTGTTTATTGCTGTTATAATTACCTCTTCTATTAAGTTTTATATATTGTTTAATTTTTGTATATTCTTTCTTATTTTTTGTTTTTTTTTTTGAATATGTTTTAATGCTTTTTTGTTTTTGTAGTTCTTGTGCATAGTTTATCTATTTTTTATTTTTTGTAATATCATAAAGATATATTGTTATTGATTGACTCTTTCTTTTAACTTCTGCCTTGCTGCTTTTTGCTATTATGTGTTTAACTCATATTTCTGCTATTATTATTTTGTGATCACTTTCTATCATTTCTTTCATGTTTTTAATTTCTGCTCTTTGTATGCCTAGTGCTAACTTTTCTGATATTTATTCATAATCGATTCTTGTTGTTGTTTTTGCATTTGACCATAAATATTTTTGTTTTGCTAGATGTATTTCTTTGTATATATTATAAAAGTTTTGTTGTCTTATCTAATTAAATATTAGTAGTCTTTTGAAACTTGCAGCTTATAGATTTTGCCTATCTAATATATTGTCCACAATATGGTTGAAGTCTTCCATAATAACAACTTGTGTTTGTCTTTCTTTTCTTGTAATAATCTCTACTATTTTTTATTAGATAGTTTTTTTTACTTTTTTGTTATTTGTAGTATATACATTCCTATTACTATTAACTTCAAATTGTTTGAAATATAATGTGATTTTTATCATATATTCATTTATCCTCCTTACTGCATCTATATGTTTTTTCTAGTGTTCTTTTACCAAAATCTTTATATCTGATTCTTTTTTTTTGTTTGCTACTACACTACTTCAATAATTACTATATCTTTTAGTTGTCTTATATATTAGGAATTTTCCTTCTCTTTCTGTAAGATTTGTTTTCATAACTTCTAGTATTGCAATTTCTTATTTTTCTGTCTAGCTAAGCAGATTTTTAAGCTTCTACCTTTTGGTTTTTAATTCATTAATATTATAACATGCTATTTTTATCTTTTTTTTTATTTTTTTTTTATTTTTCTTTTAATTAATTTTGTTTTGTTTCTATATTTTTTGCTTTTCCTTTTCTTGGTTTCTTTTTTTTTGGCAAATTGTTATACTTTTTTCAAATATTTCTCTTTGCAAAAAACCTCTGAGCTTCTTATCTGCTTTTATTGATTTAACTAGAGCACTTTTAAAAGTAATCAACTAGGTTTTCTCTTGTTCTTAGCTACATTTTTTCTATTTGTTTATCTTGTTGAACTTTGAGTTTGTTTAGTCTTTCTAGATTTTTTGAAGCAAGTCTTACATTTGTGGTTTGAAATTATCTTCTCTTGTTTGTTTTGTTTAACTATTATTTTTGTTTTTATTGTTTTCCTTTTCGATCATTTCTTTTTAGTTAATTTTTTGCTCTTTTCTATTTTTATCAATATATAGATTTTCTGTATTTGAATATCTTTAACTGTTATTTTTTTTTTCTTCTTATTCCACTTTTTCTTGAAGGTTTTTTCAATATAGAAAATGATTATTAAATCTTATTAGTTTAGATTGTGCTGTTTTCATTTTTTTTTTTAAAATAAAGGTGATTGTTGCTGCTCTTCTTTAATTTCTATTTCTGTTAGATAGTATATTCATTGCTTTTATTCCTTTGTTTTTTAAACTGTATAATAATAGAACTTTTGAAGTATTGCTTGGAAGCTCTGTTAATCTTATTGTAAATAGGCTTTGCAAATTACATTGAGTGTAATCTTTATTGTCCTTATTTACTTTTGCCAGTTTATAAATACTGATTAGTAAAGTCTATAGAATGTTTTTATTAGCAAGTTGGTTTACTTGAACTACTGCTAATGCCTTATGTTTGGATATTTTAACATATATTACTTGTACCTTTTTGAAATTTTTGCATATATGCTTGATTTTTTTCTGTATTAATGTTTACTGATAAGTTCTATATTGTAAAGTAGTTGTATAAATTTGTTTCATTCTCTGCTATAGACATATTTTCTTTTTTTAAAAATTCTTTTTTTTTTGGTTAGGTTTTGTATCTTTATTTCTTTTTTTTATTATTGTTGTTGATTTGTTATTCTAGTTTTGGTTTTTTGCTTTTTTTTTTGAAATAAGTTTAAGCCATTCACTTTCTTTTTCTTAAATTCTGTTCATTGCTGCATCTTAACTATGTTTGCAATCAAAGTCTATTTTTATCTAGTTATTTCCATTTTTAAAAACTTCTTTAATTGCTTTAATATAACAGTTCTTGACCAAAATCCATTATATATATTTTATTCTTTTATTACTTGATTCTTCTAACAGAATATAAGCTAGCATATTTGCCTTGAAGGACTTGTCTTTGTTATATACTCTATTTTCTGATAACTATTAGCTATACTCATTGTGTTAATAAGAATTAGACTTCTATAGGTCAGATTTTCTTTTTTTTAATTCTACTATTTTCTTGTTAATGTTTTCTATATTTTTTTTTAATATAATGTGAAACATCTAAAGGCAGAATTAAAATTAAGAATCTTTAAAATATAATTGAAAATTATACTAAGGTGATATAAAAAAAAAAGCTGCTATTTTGTAATAAACCTGCTTGGCTATAAAATAATGGCCTTTTTTTAGAAATACAATTACCCATTATCAAGTTATATCTATTTAAAAAAGTTGTATTTTCATATGATCAGTAAAAAATGAGACAGATAACATGATTTGTAATTATCCAATCAAATTTAATTTTAAATTTGATTGGCTAATAACTGATCACATTTTTAATTAACTTTTTTTTTATTGGTTCACATTATAAGCATTGTTGATAATTATGCAAAATAAAATGCAACCAAAAAAACAATTTTTTCAAGAATGTTAAGAAAAAACAAACAAACAGTGCTATGATCAAAACACAAAACAGCACTATAGTCAAACCTAAACAAATTAAATAGTGAGACAAAACAGTGAGACAAAACAGCAAGATGAAACAGCAAGATGAAACTTCACTTAAGCTCTGAGCATTTAGTAAGTGGCAGTTACTAATACAGCAATATAGTTACTAAAAGTTGCCTGATATTAAATTTTTGAATTCTGCTTTTGAAAAGAAAAAAAAAAAAAAAACTTTAAACAAATGCTCAAGAGAAAAAAGTATGCTAAACTTTATAAGTATAATAACAAAAAAAAAAAATAGCCCAGAAAAGACAGGAAAATTTGAATGTATTAAATAAGGCAGATGATATTAAATTTAGTTCAAATGAAAATAGTGATCAAGATAAGAATGAAGGGATAGATAAGAAGCAAGGTTTGGATGAATACAGTAATGAGAGAAAGCATGAGTTAGATAAAGAGAAAAGAATGCAAATTTATTTACTTATGATACCCTTTATATAAAAAAAAGGCCAGAAATAAGAAAAATAAAAAGCACCTCAAAATTAACCTACTATTGCAAGTTCAGTGCCTCTGGAAAGCTTACCAGTGCTACTAAAGGGACATCCAAAATTACCAGTTTATTAGGACCTTCAACATCAATGTTACCAACATATTTGACATTATGATTAGCATCCTCTGCATATTCAACTTTGGCCAAACTGAATAGTAATGAGAATGAAAGTAAGAATAGTGATGATGGTGGAGGTGGTAATAATGGTGAAAAAGAACACTTTGAACTTGATAATGTAATTGCTTAGCTTCAGAAAAATCTTCTAAAAAATAAAAAGACATTCAGTACTTTTGAGTATAATGAATGACAGGCAGTTTATGAATATTTTGTAAGACTTTATGATGGTTATAGAAAGTTGAAAGTAAGTGAAGCTGCAGCATGTATAGTCTATGTCAATCCAAACTCATACAAATATAAAAGGATTTGCTTTCTTGGTAATTTTTTTTTATGCCATAAGTCATTTTCACTTTTCTATTATAGTAGATATCAAAAATATAAACAATTAGTTGATGATGAAGATGTAGCACTAAAATGTAGGCAATAGATATATGAAAAATCAAGAATAAATGGCATTAGTCCATCCTGGTTTAGACAATATATTGATTCTGCCATATTACCTGAGTACACAGGAGGAACAAGAAAGTCAATTAGTCTAAGAATGACTAAAAAATAGTTAAATATTTTAGATTGTTAATTTAAAAAATACCAAAAGGGTATGTACTTTGATAAATACAAACAAAAAGATGTTGTTGAATATTAGAGTAAGTTTTTAGAAAAAATAAAGAATTTAAAGTAACAGATGAAGGTGTATGAAGGAAAAAAATAGAACTGGTCCTACTGATGCTTAAAGTAGAAGAGCAAGAGCTGATTTTTATTACTTGTAATGAGTGCATTTTTTATTCAAATGATAGAAAAAAAGGGATCTAAGTGCATAATGGGATAATGCTATTACATAAGAAAGATAATGAAAAATTGATTATGGTGAGTAAATTTATTTTAGAGGCATGTGGCAGATTACAATTAAGTAAGGAAGAAAAAAAAAATTATCCTAATATTCCTACAGAAGCATGCTGTTATTTAAAACCTGGTAAAAATAAAGAAAATTACTGGACAATCAAACATTTATTAAATCAAATCTAAAAAAAAACTATCTCTATTTTTGAAGCAAAATTTCCTGGTGCAATAGCTGTCTTCACTTTTGACAACAGTATGAATCATATAGCATTTGCAGATGATGCCTTTATAGTGAAAAAAAATAAACAAAAGACCTGAAGAAAAGCAAAGTATTATGCATCTGATAACCTTTATTGATATCAATAGTTAACAAAAAGAGCAAAAAATAGTATTCAAGAAGGATTACCCTGATCCCAATATAAGAGGAAAGCCAAAAGAAATAAAAAAGATGTTAGAGGAAAGAGGACTTTGGAAAGAAGTATTAAATTTAGATTGTAAAAAGTGTAAAAAAAAGAAGGATTCAGGTCAAATAGATTGCTGCTTGAGAAAAATTATGACCTCTTAATCAGACTTTGTCACCCAAAAGTTTGTTATTGTGAAATTAATTGAAAATGCTAGTTATATTTGTATTTTTTATCTGAAGTTCTACTGTGAACTTAACTTTATTGAAATGTATTGAGGTGCAGCTAAAAGATATATAAGAGATCACTGTAATTACACATGAACTGGCTTGCAAGAAATTGTTCTACAAGCACTTAATTCAGTAGATATTGTTACAATTAGAAAGTTTGCTTGCAAATTGTGAAGATATATAGAGTTATACTATAAAGAGTTAACAGAAAAGTTAGCAGAATATGTGTATAAAAATTTTAAATCCTATAGAAGAGTTTTTTAAAACAAATTGGATTTATTTGTACAAGAAAATAAGGAAATAGATTGTGTTCAATAAATAAATTTAAATAAAATTGAATGTAATTAAAATAAATAAATATAATAAAATTAATATGCAAAGATAAATATAAGTAAATTTAAATAAAATTAATATGCAATTAAAGAAAATAAATAAATAAAAGTTAAATTTAATGCACAATTAAAAAAAATTAAAATTTAATTTGCAATTAAAAATATTAATCAATTTAAAATGATACTTATATTAGATAATGAAGTTTGAAAAACAGAAGAAACTATTGATACATCACAAAATCATTACACAATTGATAAAAATTTTTTTTATATTATTTTATAATACTTTTTTGGAAGGTTCACTTGACTTATCTTTTCTATGAATATTTAAAATAGTTAAACAAACATGAAGCTCTTACTTTGCTTTACAACATATTTTTTGAATCCTTTTGAATCTTATGGTTTCGTCTTTTTGTAAATTTTGCAATTTGATTAGTTGACTAATCCTATGTGATATTTGACTAATTGATATAATGAATGATCTGTGTAACAGAGAATGAAAATCATATCTATATCTGAACAGTTTCTTTTGCTAGTTTGGAATTAGATTTGTATTCATAGTCAAATATTCATTTGATTAGCTGATATAAATCAATTGTTTGGGTAATTTATTTATACTTTTTTAAAATATAACATTTCACTAATAAAGCCATTTTTCACTTTAAAAGAATATTTATATTCATTATACAAAAATAATCAAAAATAATCAGTAACTCTGAAAACTTTACTTAGAAAACAAAGTATGCTTACTATTTATTAGACCATATTATAGAGTGAAGATAACTAGCAACATTTTCATCTAAAGCTATTTTATTATATTAGATTTAGACAAACTTTTGCTTTTAACTGTTTAATTGAATAGGTACAAACTTTTAGTAATAGAAGATTTAGGCTTAATATTTAAATTTGTTTAGTTTTTGTAGTATGTTTGGGCTTGTCAACCATATATTAATAGTTGTAGTTTATATATTGTACATAGATCTTGTATATAGATTTGTTAATAAGTTTGGCTTTATTAGTCTATCTATTCTTGAAATATAAATAATCTATTCTTTTGTGTATATTTATTAGTTTGTAAGCTTTTTTATTTGAAGTTTGTTTTGTTTTCTAGAACTGTAGTATTAATAAAATTATGTATTTTGATTGGTTAATTATTACGGGCAATTACAGATAAATTTACCAAAATTAAATTCAAACTTTATGACATGTTGTCACATGACTATGGTATCATAAAATTATAAAAATTATTTTTTTATGTGATTTAAAACTTTTTTAAAATTTGACCAAAATAGGACAAAGTCATGTGACTTCTGCTTTTAGGTGTCCTGACTGTATTTTGGATAATGTTATCTCTTGGTACTTCTGTGTCTTTCTTAATCTTCTTTTCTCTTGACTCTTTTGTTTTATTCAATTTATTTATAAATGCTTAGTTTGTGCTTGATAGAAATTTTTTTTGTGCATGTCTTGTAGTAAGTTAATATTAAGCTTTTCTATTTGTTTAATAATTGCATTTATTGTTTGAATTGGCTTTTCTTAAAATACTTCTTTATTTTCTTCTTTTTGATATTTTTTTTTTGTTATTGATATTTGTATTTTTTCAATATCATTTGGTTTTTTTATTTTTTTTATTTTTTATTTTTTTTAAATATTAAGGTAAGTACTTGTGATCCAGAATTTTATTGATAATATATTTGGCTAATGATTGCCTTACAACTACAGGGAGCAACTATGAAGAGAGTATACAACTAGCCACTCATATAACTTTAGTCATTGTCTAATTTAAGTAGTCTGCCTGAAGGTTCTACACTAGCTGTCATATCTGGAACCCACTTGTAGGTTCCCTATTTAACCACTCTGTTTCTGTATCCACCTACCTACCTCTGTCTATCAACGATCCCAGCCAATGCTGATAAAAATATGTCATGGCCACTAAGTTTTTAAAGCAGTTCTTTGGAACCTTTGACCTTGTACTAAACCTTTCAGAATCTTCTGTATCCTATTCTTATAGCTGACCTAGTATCACTATGGCCAAGACCAACAATGGCAGTCAGGACATACTATTAAACTATTATGCTCTTGTAGAGTTTATCCCAACCTAAGTACTTACTTTACAACATATCTTTACTACTTTGGTATTCAATTCAAGTTTCATTAAGCTGCTATTTCAGATAGCCTGAAAAGGTAGGTCGAAACCATATACTTCTGGTTTACATGTTTGCCAGCATGTATCCTTTTCTTTTAAAACTCAGAAATTTTGACAGCCTGGTTGGTTCATTCAGTCCCTCCTCAAAGACCAGCACATTTGCCAGTTTCACAAGTTTTAGCTCTGTTTTATAAGTCTAGTCTTTACAGTAGCACTGTCAAAAGCTCAGGTTACCTCTCTACTTAGGTCTTCAAAGTGGACTTCTATCTTTCTTCTATTGGTTCCTATGATTTACATAGTCACGAGGACTTATTGTAAGTTTGCATCATCTGGTACCGGTTTGCATTCTTTTATGTAACCACAGACCTTGTTCCAAAAGACAATGTCATATAACTGTTACATAAATGCCATGTGACCTGCCAGTCATGCTGATGTAACATAGATTACAGGTGTCTTATCCTAACCAATTGTGAAAGACAGTTAACTGTAATACAGAAAGGATTTTTCAAATTTTCTGTCAACACTGGAATTTGAACTTTGAATTTGCCACTTGGGAGTTGACAACCTGACCACTTTACTAGGTTACTACACCCTTTATTTTATTTTTTTTTTAAGTATTTCTTTTTTATTTATATTTATAATATAATTAACTAACTTTGGATTTTGATTTATTAGTCTGAGTCTTTGTGCTTATTCATCTATTCATCTTTTTCAAGCCAACTTATTTCTACTAGACTCAAGATTTTAAGAATTTGTCAATAGAGTAGTATATTACTTAGTATAATATGGTTGGGTTGTTTATTGTCAAGTCCTTTGCTATGTGTTCCACATTGCTTGGTTCTTTTATAGTTATTATTAGAATTTAATCTAACAATTTAGAATTTAAATCTCTTTGATTTTTATTATCTGTTCTCTTAATGTAGTACATAATGTCTGTATCATAAACCTGATTTATTTGGGTGGTGCTTATTTCACTGACAATCACTTTAATGACAGCCTATTTCACTGACAGTCAATTTGCCGACAAGTTTATTTTACTGACAGTCATTTTACCAACAGTCATTTTACCAACAGTCATTTTACTGACAGTCATCTCACTGATAAAGTAATTCTGGTCATTTGCATTAGGGTCAGTTGGAATTAAAGTTAATGTTAGTGCAACTTTAAAAAAAACCTTGTCAGTAAAATGGGCTGTCAGTGAAATAGTTGTTGGTAAAATAAACTTGTCGGTGAATTGATTGTCAGTGAAATGAAATGTCAATGAATTGATTGTCAGTGAAATGACACATACCCATTTATTTGATCTATAATTATATTTCTATACTGAACTATTTCCTGTTTGAGTTGTTTATATGCATTCTGTATTATATTAATATTTACTAATCTATCTGTTTACTTATTAATTAAGAATATAACTTTTTGTTGTTTATTGTTTGTTGTTTGGTTAGTTATATGTTTTTTTTTGTTTTTCAAAATTAATTGTAATTTTCCAAACTTTGAATTTTACACTAAAAAAAAAAAAATTTTTGACTTAAAGCAAGTTTAGTATTGCTTGAAATATATTATTATTATTATATTTTTAGTTTTTTTTTCTTTGACTTTGGCAGTCTTGCTATTTACTCATTATTAAGATATCATGTTTTTATATAAACATTTTTAAATTTAACATATTGAGTTGACATTCCACAGTTACTTCTATAAGTACTTACAAGTGATTTGCCTATATTATTTGGCTAATTTCCTAAGAAAGAAGAGGATCTGAGAGTGCATTCAACCAATACTCTACAATAGAATAGTACTAATCTGATAACATCTTTTTGTAGAAAAGTAAAAGAAAACAAAAAAAAAACTTATTATATAATAAAAAAAAAATACAGAGGTATAGAAGATAAAGATAAAAGATACAAAACAAAAAATAAAAAAAGAAAAGAAAAAATCAAAAAAAAAAAAAGATATATATGACTTTTACCACATGATTATTAAATGATCACAATTATAAGTTTGTGTCAGGCTTTTAAAAATTATAAACTATACTAAATAAAAATAACTTTAATATTTTTTTATCTACTAGAATATATATATATATATATATATATATTTTTGAGTTAAAGTTCCTGTCTATAGGAGTTAATGTTTTTATTCATATATTTGGACATGGGTGAGTCTAGGGGCTCTCTTACATTAGAGGTTACAACTAGCCATACATGTACTTTTGGTGCCTAATTTAAGTAGTCCACTTATACATTACTATATAAGATCTATACTAGATACTATACCTGCAAGCCAACTATAGGTTTTGTCTATT